CTAAGGGGCAGGCCCCCAACTTAGTGTCTTAGTGAGATCCTATTTTAAAAAGGGGGTTGTAGTGATTAGCAGCTCCTTGCAAAGGGTTCAATCCTCAATACTATCAAAAAAAAAAAAAAAAAACCTTTATATTTTAAACCCCAGAATATTTTATCATTGTTCCACTCATTTCATTTTGGTAACATTTTTCATTTTTGTTATTTTTTGGTTCTTCCTGTATCTTCAAGCTTCTAACCCAGTGCATTTTCCTTGTGCCCAAAGAATAAACATCTTTACTGTTTCCTTCTGAAATGCAGAGACAAAGACATGTCAGCGTGTGTGTCTAAAAACATGTTCTTGCTTGAGATTTGCTGATGTTGGATGGAACTCACCTGCTGTCCCCTTGACGCATGCAGCCTGGGGCTGAGTGCTGTCCTGTGGATTGAGAAGGGTGCTGTTGCCTTGCTGCCCCTCTCAGTGCTTGCCCTCTGCCTTTCTGCCTTGGCTCTGATGGTGAGCCCCTCCTTGTCTGCTTTCCAGAAATGTGGCCACACATGCCAGTGAGTTTCTGCTCATTTTGGGAGAGCTCCCAAGTGCTTCTTGAGTCTCTGGCCAGATGTGCATCATCTGTTGTGGAAAGCTCTCAGTCATTACCTCTGGAAATCCTGGTCATGGCCCATGTGCTCCCACGTTGCTGCACTTGGGGGAGGGCTGTCCAGTGACACATAAGTCAGAACCAGCCCATGAGTCTTTCAATTCTTTTCTCTGTTTTTTGGAAGTGTGTTTTTTCTGGTTTTACTCTAGTGATTTACTCTTTGCTTATCTTCTAGTTACTGATTTTCTCCTTGTGTCTGATATGTATTAAAAGCATCTATTGAGTTTTTAATATCATTATTATATGTTTCAGCTGGGCATGTTGCACACACCTGCACTCCCAGCACTTGGGAGGCTAAGGTAGGAGGATCACTGTGAGTTCAGGGCCAGCCTGGGCTACACAGTGAAACCGTATCTCAAAAAAATAGAAACAAAACATTATTATTATATGTTTCAGGTCTGTGATAGCTATTTTATCTTATTTTACCCATTTCCATTTTCTGCTAAAGTTGTGATTTTGGTCTTTCTGGTTCCCTGAAAACTTGGATGTTTTCCTTTTACTTAGCATGTATCTCCATTGTCTGGGTCTCCAGGGGTTCTGTTCCTGGTCTCAGTAGGGTTTTTTTTTTTGGGGGGGGGGGCTCTTGTTCATGTATTACTTTCTCATATACCTATTTTTTCCAAAAACAGCAAAACTTTTAAGTATGGAAAATGTAAACAACATGTATGAAAGATTATATATATTATACATTCCCCTCGTATTCACCACCAAGTTTCAGAAATTACAAATGCATGGCCAGTCATCATTTATATGAGCCTGACCACTTGTTTTTCATTTCCCACTGGCTTTTTAAAAAGAAAATCCAAGATGTAGCATTTCATTCATAAAATCTATACTTTTCTATTTATCTCTACTATTTTATGCATAAAATAAGTTAGGGGCAATTACCGTTCCTTAATATAATCTCATATCTCCTCTCCCTGCATTTTGGTGTTGGGGATTGAACCCATGGCCGCACACAGGCTAGTCAGGTGATTCACCACTCAGCTACATCCCCATTCACACATAGCCAGTTAATATTTAATTTCTCAAGCTGAATACTACTGCCACTTAAGAGGCTAAGACAGGAGGATTGCTTGAGCCCAGGAGTTCAGAGTCAGTCTGGATAGCAGAATAAGATCCAGTCTCTTAAAAAGACAAAAACTGGGTGTGGTGGTGCATATATTTAATCCCAGCACCTGGGAGGCTGAGGCAGGAGGATTGCTATGAGTTTGAGGCCAGCCTGGGCTACATAAGTGAGTGCAAGGCCAACCTGCATTACATAGTGATACCCTGCCTCAAAAATACAAGCAACAATAACAACATAAAGTCAAAAACGAGGAATTCTTCTAATTCCTTGTACATGGTGTTTGTCAACTGGCTTTGTTTTGGGTGCAGGGAATGCACTCAGAGGTGCCAAGAAGCACTCATCTTACTCTGAGCCGTACTCCTCGGGCCTGTTTGGTAATTTAATTGTATGAAACACTGCAGTGATGCAGATTTTCATTTCATTGGGCACAGTACTGAGCTTAGTTCCTGGGTACCCTAGAATCCCTTAATCAGCTGTGGCAGGTCTGCAGGACACCTCACTCTGAGGACAGAGGCCCTTTGATCTCCACCCCAAGCTAGGGTTCTTTTCTATGTTCCTCCTGAATAGCAAACCTCAGACTCCAGTTTTCCCC